GACACTATATATAGTAAACTGAGTCATAGGCCTCCAAAGGTATCTATATCCTAATCCCTGGAATTGGTATTATATTAGCTAACCTTTCGAGGGTGGAGATGTGACTAAAAGATCTTGAGCTGAGGAAATTATTGTACATGATTCAGGTGGACTCTATATGCAATTACATGTGCATTTATGAGAGGAAGGCAGAGAACACACAGGAGAAACGGCAACGTGACACGACACAAAGATTAGAGTAATATAGCCAGAAATTAAGGAAAGCTGACAGTCACCAGAAACTAGAGGCAAGAAACAGTCTCCGCTAGAGTCCGCAGAGAAGCACAGCCCTGCCAACACCTCGGCTTCAGCCAGTGATACTGATTTCGCGCTTCTGACCTCCAAGAACTATGCTGTTGTTTGAAACCATCAAATTAGTGGTAATTTCTTGCAGTAGGCACAGGAAATTAGTGCAAATATCCACATTATTACTCACATGATTACAAGAAACTTATACTTCTTTTTTTCTGCAATTTTTCATGTCCTCAGGATATAGTGGGATAGCCTACTACGAACACACAAACTAGCGTGTTTTGAAATTAATTGTGCAGCTGTGCTGTCAGGTTGATATGCATTTGATTCATTTATTTCACCTTATTTTGATTTTTAAGGACTATTTAAAATTTTTTTGATAGAGTTTTATTTTAGAATTAGGTAAAACTTTTGTTTGGCTGCAAATACAGCTCAGTAGTAAAGCATGCATGAAGCCCTGGGTTTGATCCCCAGCACAATTTTTTTTTAAAAAGCTGCCAGTGTGGATGTCCTCAGTATTAGTGTGGAATTAAATACTCATTATTCCCTACTACACCACTCTTAACATCCCTTATCTGCCAACAGTATCACTACTTAAATTACCTAATATTCTAGTACAGTAGGTAATCCAATATTTTTCTATTCTTCCTTTGAAATGCCTCTCTATTCTTCCTTTCTGTTCAAATAGCCCTATCTTTAGAACAGGTTTTATCACACTCTCTTTAGGAAGCTAATTCAGTCTTACTAAAATTACTTTCCATTTATATTTTTGCTTATACTGTCTCACCTTTCCAATTTTCCTGTGCACTGACACTAGCTGACCTATCCTAAAATGCTGCTCTTTCAGCAAATTACTCTTCAGCCCAAAAACCCTCAATGACCACCGGCACAGTCTAAAATAAAAATTCACTGGCTTGACATTCAAGTCTCCTTAGTGCTGACTCCAGTGTAGCTCAAGTGATGATACAAATATGTAGTATCCTCCAAAGAGGCACATATTGAGGGCATGATTCCCATTGCATCAGGGCCTCGAGAGGTGACTGGGTCACAAGGACACTAATCGATGGATGAACCATGGACTAAGGAGCTCGGAGTGGACCGGGCTAGGAGGAAGCAAGGCCCAGCTGGAGGAGCTAGGTCACTGGGGGTGCACCTGTGAAGGGTATGTCTTGTACCCAGCTCCTGCCGCCCAGCTCTCACTCTGCTCCCTGGTTGCTGTGATGTAAGCAGCTTTCTTCTTTCAGTCTTCTGCCATGCCATTCTGTCTCATAAGCCCACAGCAACAGGGCCCACTTCTGAAACCATGAGCCAAAATAAATCTTTCCCCTTTTATTTTTTGTACATATATCATAGAAATAAAAAGCTAATCGGTTAATCTCTTAACAACCCCTTATATGAAATCTCTACCACTCGAACTACTTTTTTTTTTTTGTCTTTTTGAGACAGGGTCTCACTATGCAATTCAGGCAGGCTTTGAGCTCACTTTGTGGCCCAGGCTGGTCTCGAACTCACAACGATCCTCCTGCCTCAGCCTCCCAAGTGCTGGGATTACAGGCATGTGCCACCACACCCAGCTTCGAACTTCTCTCAATATGCCTTTATCACTGACTAAGTTGGCCCTTAAACATGAGATCATTCATACCTCCTGATTTCCTTAGTTCATATCTCTTCATTTCAACAATGTAGTGGACAAAAACAATGCTTCTCAAATTTTAATATGCATGTGAATCACCTGATATTGAAGGGCAGGCTCTGACTTAGTAGTTCAGGGACGGGGACTGAGATTTGGGGTAGGGAGAAGTACTGGGGATTGAATCCAGGACCTGCAAACTGACCTACATCCCCAGGCCTTTTTGAGTTGAGACAAGTTTTGCTAAGCAACTACACTGCCCCGGCTGAGCTTGAACTTGCCATCTTTCTGCCTCAACCTCCAGAGTGGCTGGGATCACAAGTGTGCACCACCATGCCCATACCTAACAAAACTTCAGATGGTGCAATTCTCTGAACCCTACATTTTTTTTTTTTTTTTTTCCTGAGACAGGGTCTCACTATGCAGTTCAGGCTGGCCTGGAACTCATAATGACCCTCCTGCCTCAGACTCCCCAGTGCTGGGATTACAGGCATGCGCCACCATGCCCGGCTGAACCCTACTTTGGTATCACAGTATTTTGGCATTCCTGCACCTACCATCTACTTCGCTTTATTTTAAAATATATGTTTTGGTGCTTTCCTCCAACACAGCCATAAATAAGATCCCAAACAAAGGGCTGGAGGTGTGGCTCAGTGGAAAAACAGGCAGGAGACCTTGGGGGTCTTTGCGGATCCAGGAAAATGCTCTACCACTGAGATATATTCCCATCTTTTTCTTAGTTCTGAAGCAGGTTTTCACTAAACTGCCCAGGCTGGCGGCAAAGTTACTTCCTCCAGCTTCAGCCTCTGGAGTAGCTGGGATTACTCACACCACCAACACCCAGCTGAGGAATGTGTTTTAAAATCCATTTAAGAAAATACCTCCACACATATTAATTTTTAATAGCAATATGAGAAACTGCACAGGTAGTTTGCAACTATATATGTAAAAATTACGCTTATTTTCTAGTATATGTATAAAATATTCCTGAAAAGATACACAAGGAAGTAGAAAACTGGCTGGCTCCTGGGAGAAAAGGTCAGGAATGAGACGGAAACTTACTTTAGTTTTTTGTTGTTTTTGAGCCTTGCTATGTAGTTCAGGCTGGCCTTCAACTCACTACAATCCTCCAGCCTCAGCCTCCCGAGTGCTGGGATTATAGGTGTGCACCACCATGCCTGGCTATTTTCAATGTCCTTTCTGCCAGGTGTGGTGGCACACTCTTGTAATCTTAGTACCCGCGAGGCTGAGGCAGGAGGATCATTGCGAGTTTGCGACCAGCCTGGGCTACAAAGTGAGCTCAAAGCCAGCCTGAACTGAATAGCAAGAGCCTGTCTCAAAAAGACCAAAAAAAAAAAAAAAAAAAAAAAAAAAAAAATCCCAAAACAAACAACAACAAAAAAAAAGAAATGTCCTTTTAAACCTAGCTACATTACCTAGGATGAGCTCAGCCTGGGTAATTTAGAGACCCTGTCTTAAAATTAAAAAGGGCTGGGGATCTAGCTTAGTGGTAGAGCTCTTGTGTAGCTTGCACAAGCCCTCGGTTCAGTTCCAGCATCCCAAAACAAAAATAAGAACCGCATGTATTATCTAGTCAAAGGGTAGATTTAACGATTTTTGTAAAAGCTAAACAAGCCCCAGAGTGACTCAACACATTACTCAACTTCGCTAAAACTGACTTTTAGCAAGATAATGGCTTTCCAAATCATCTCCACCCAATGAGTCAGCTGGTAAAAGGGTGGGTCTCACAATGGGAGAGTCTTAGATGGCATGGAGCCCAGGAAAACAATCAGCTGTTGCAAGTTTATGAAAGGCGAAAGGGGAAAAAGAAAAACCACAACAAAACACAACAAACCAGGAAGAGTGACTGACATTGGGCAACAGAAGACAGAATTTTCCAAAACCAGCCTCCGGGTCCGGAAGGACCATTTAAATCAGTCAGCAATTGAATAAAGAAAGTGGAAGCACAGCTAGCCCTCTGCTTGGACAGGTCGGCAGCCACCCATTCCTGAGGACTAGAAGCAAGCTTAAATTCCTAGGGACCAAAATTCTCTCTTCTAGCTGCCGGTCTAGTGCCTGAAACGCCTTCCTCGGCTTCGAGGTAGCTTATCACTCTGGATGTAATTACGTTATCAGATTAGCTAGGTATCAGCTGGCAGAAATTAGCAGGTGTAATAAGGGCAATCAGAAGATACAGCGTCTTCTTTCCATTCCTATCCCTTCATGGCGCACATCAGCCGACTGCCCCTGTGCCCGGTTTTCCTTGAAGTGCTTGCACAGGATGGGCTGCTGCTGCTGAGGAAACAGGAATCAAACCTCGAATGCTACTTCCTAGAATCATTTCCAAGAATTGTAAACCTGAGCCAGAGCACAACTTCAGGCTTGTGAGTTCCGTCCTAAGGTTCACTATGCACGGAACAAATTTCCCGTTGCCCTAAATCTGCTGTGTCACCAGAAGGTCTCGACACCGGCTCACCGCACTCAGCCTCGCTCGAGGAGCCTCAGCAGGGGTACCCTTTGGCCGCAGCCACTCCACCTGCGGCGCTCCGCTCCCCGGGCTCCCCGCGCCGCCAAGTGGCACAAGGCACCGGCCGACAGCTCTCCCCCGTCCCCCTCCCCACGCACTCGCGCCACAGCCCGCCCCCGGCAGCCGCCACCCGGAAGTGGCCGCGCCCTGGCGCGCGGCACAGAAGGGCCCCGCCGGGGGCCCGGGGGCGAGAAAACCGCGGCAGACCACAGGGTGAAAGACGGAGAGCTCACCACTCCTCACCTGACTCGCCAGCCGTGCCACAGCCCAACCTGCAGGCCCACAATATGGAGGCGCGGCGGGGCGGAGGGGGGCGGCGCGTGTGCCAGCGCGAGCCCGTTAGCGTCGCTGCAGCCGGCGGGAACGCCCCCGGGCTCAAGGGGGCGGTGCTCCCCGCCCCGCCCCGCCCCGCCGCTCCACTTTCAGGGAAAGGCGCGCCGCTCAAGTGGCTCAGCCGGTTTTACCACGTGTCGCGGTTCCAAAGAGCCTGGTCCAATCCATCCCTGTTTTCTTTCAAGTTACTAAGGAAGTTACAGGGGATCTGTGCTGGGGGCACCCCGGGAACCCCTCCAGTAGTGGGTGCGGCACAGAGGGGCAGAAAATGGGAGGCTGAAGCAGTCTCTCCACCTCCGCTTGGGCATTCATTAGCCTCCTGTAAAACTGGTTTTACTGGGAGTTCTTTTTTTTTTTTTTTGGTTTTTCTCCGGTACCGGGAGCCGAACTCACGACCTTGCGCTTGCCAGGCAGGCGCTTTGCTAAATCCCCAACCCCTACTGGGAGTTCTTGAGGGCTGGAACTAGAGAGGTACTCATCAAAACCACTCCAGAAAGGAGTTGGTAGGTGATTCTCGCCTCCGACACAGCATGACACACTAGCAAGTGTGTAATGCTGGTGGCATACATATATACCCCACTTTTCTTACAGCAATTCGAAGCATCTGAATTGTATTTACTGCTTGTCTCTCTCACTAACACAAGGTCCCTGAAAACAGGAGTATTTCTGAAGCTAGTAGGAAGTGTTCAATAACTGATCCACCAAACCACAAGCTATTTTATCTGTTAACTAGAAACTCCTTTCCAATATTGCCGTAAAAACTGATATCCTAAAGGGTTTTCAATGGTAGTTTTGGACCACTGGTAATTTTTTTCACTTCATCCTTTTTTTTTTTTTTGGTACCAGTAATGGAACTCAGGTGCTTGTGCTGCTGAGCTATTATCCCTGCCCCCTTTCACTTTATAGGTTAACGTTTTGGTTGGTTTTTTTCTTTGTTTGTGGGTTTTGCTTTTTTTTTTCTTTTTTCTTTTTTCCTGTCGGGGTCTCACTGTGTAGTCCAGGCTGGCCTCAAACTCAGCACTCGGGAGGCGGAGGCAGGAGGATCCTTGTGAGTTCGAGACCCGCCTGGGCTACAAAGTGAGCTCAAGGCCAGCCTGAACTGCATAGGGAGACCCTGCTTCAAAAAGACAAAAAAAAGTTTCTGATCAAACTTCAAAGCGGTATGTATTTAATCACTACTATTACGTGCATACTATTTGCTAGCCACAATGTCAATCATTTGACAAGTATTCTCATTCTTTAGGATTTACCAAAAAAACTGTAACAGCTTTATTGAAAAAGTATCCATATAAAGCATACAATTCAACACTTTTAATATATTTGAAGAACTCTACTTCCATCACGATTTTAGAAGGTTGTATCACTCCAAAAAGAAATCTCAGACCCTGTAGCCATTGCTAATACCCCCCCATCCTGTCCTGATGGAGACCACTATGTAGCAGCTGAGCCAGATTTAATATTAACCAATTGGCTTTTCATGTTTGCTTATGAGTCACTGGTTCCTACTGAGGCCTGTAACGGTGGGTGAAGTCACGAGGCCTCAAAGGACAAGACCAGACCACAGCTGAGGACTTATGGCTCCAACCCCAATTAACTAAAAGGAGGCTATAGCTGCAGACTTCTCACTCCAGCAGTGAAGGCCATCCTGCAATAACACAGTTCTCCTAAATTAACATAAAGTAAATTTATGGAGAAGTCCTTAAAGGGATTCCCAAGTCCTGCCCACACTCCTGCATTTTCTTCAGTATTCCTCTTTTGTTTGAAAATCTAATAAATAGGGGCTGCCGGAGGAAGTCTTGGTCTTAACCGAGAGTATCTTAAATATTGTAAGAGAGATAGACACTGTTGGAGCCCTAAAATCATTCCAGTTGTCTCATTTGTTTAAGCCTTTGCTGTCCACTCATTTGGGAGATTGTGGACCTGATCAGTCTGTAGTAGCTAATGGTTATTAATACAATAGTGTCCACTGTCCTGAGACTTGTATGCACTCATACTATGGTCTTTCATGACCGGGTTCTTTTCACTTACTGCTTTCAAGGTTCATTCATATTGTAGCATGATCAGTACTTCATTATGTTTTATGGCTAATATTTCACTGTATGGATATACTACATTTGGATTATCCATTTATAAGTTGGCATTTGGGTTGTTTTCACCTTTTGGTTATTATGACTAATACTACTATGAATATTCATGTGCATATATTTTCATCCCTCCTAAGTGCATATCTGTGACTGCAGCCATAATCACTACCCCTTATTGCTGTCTTTAATTTGTATTTCCTAATGACTAATGATATTTGGCATCTTTTCATTTGTTTATTAGCTATTTGTCTTCTTTGGGGAAACGTCTATTTAGATCACATGGGCATTTTAAAATTGGGTTATCTGCCAGGTGTGGTGGTACACCAGTAATCTTAGCACTTGCTAATACCCCCATCCTGTCCTGATGGAGACCACTATGTAGCAGCTGAGCCAGATTTAATATTAACCAATTGGCTTTGGTGGTACACCTGTAATCTTAGCACTTGGAATGCTGAGGCAGGAGGAGAATTGCAAGTTCAAGGTCAGCCTGGGCTACAAATTGAGTTCACAGTCAGCCTGAACTGCATAGCAAGACCCTGTCTCAAAAAGACAAAAAATAAATAAAATTGGGTTATTTGTTTTTTAAATTGTAAGAATAGTTTATATACATTCTGGATGCAAATCTCTTATCAAATACATAATTTATGAATACAGTTGTCTTTCAGTATCTGTGGGGAATTAGTTCTAGGACCTCCTGTGGATAGGCTGGCCTTGAACTCACTATGTAGTCCAAGCTGGCCTCTCAAACTCAACAGTGATCTTCCTGCCTCAGCCTCCCAAATGATGGGATTACAGGCATTCATCACCATGCCCAGTTCATTGAGCCAGGAATCCCATCATTCAGAAGGCTGAGGCAGGAAGATCAAGGCCAGCCTAAACTGCATAGCAAGACTGTGTCTCAAAACGAAAACGAAAACAAAACACAAGAAAGAATAAATAAATTCAAAATTACCCCCACAAGAAGAGGCAATAAGAAAGCGCCTGCCTGGCAGGCACAACGTCCTGAGTTCAATTCCCAGTACCAAAAAAAAAAAAAAAAAGAGTAAGCAATAAGAGTACATATGTGTATGCTGGGGTGACAGATTGTATGTCTGTATGTAAAAATGGCAAGATTTTAGAAATGAATACCTAGTAATCCTGAGAGTGTTATAAGAAAAAGATAACATGAGACAAGTGTGTGGGACAATGGCGGGCCCAAACGCAGAGATGAGGCTAACGTTCCATTTCAAAGTATTGTGTGCAAGTGAGTAATACTTGCAAGAAATAAGATAAAACAAGTGATTTAAGAAGCCCCAAAGTAGCTGGCACAATGTGGTGAGTACCTGTAGTCCCAGCTATTTGAGAGGCTGAGGCAAGATGATACTTGAGGCCAGAAGTTCAGGGTCAGCCTGGGCAACGCAGTGAGCCCTTTGTCATTAAAACAAACAAACAAACAAACAAACAATACCCTCAAAATGAATTTACTGTGATACAGAACAGGAGATAATGCCAATGAATTCAGATGAAGTTTGATATAACCTGGGGAAACTTAAGTATACCACCAAGACCATTCTAGGTCAGAATTCCCCAAAAGACAAAAGGAAAATGAGACATTTCTCAGGGGGAGGGGCAGCAGGAAATATGACAGTGTGCTAATACTTACAGCCCAACCCATCTCCCAAAACTTCCCTGACTGTCCCTTCTCAGACCACGTTCAAGTCGTCTTCTCCAGTTTTTACCCCCAGCTGCAGGATAAGAATCATGTTCAGAACAATATGATGGTTCTCATTCTTCTCTTCAGTGCCATCCAATTCTAGTAAAAAACTACAACTCACAAAGTAAACTATTAGGAACTCCAGACTCCAGAAAGACCCACACCACAGCTTTTTACCATTTCCTAACTCTAGACCCCTATCTTTAGAAGCTACTTGTGAACTCAGAAAAAAGTTACATCATACTGGTGTTCTCATTCAGCTTAGACTCCTTAGCTGGACAGTGAATGAGATTTAGAATGAAGTATGTTTCAGCAATGGCAACAACCTGGCATGTACAGTATAATTTTATCATAGCTTCCCATTTTCTAGGAATCTACTTGGGATCTGGCTCAGTCGTTTACACCCCACCATCTACTTTCTCTTCTAACTGCTTCTCATCTAGTTGGCAGGAGCTCCCATGAAACATGATGTAGTAGGCACTGCAGTATACTGGCTGCTTGTTCGGGTTGGAATAGACCTGTTCAGGCTTGAGGGATGCGAAAGGGTTAGCTCCGTAGGCAATGATATGTGTATCCAGGTCCACAAGAATCTGCAAAGAGGCTGCCAATTCCTTATGGCTATGGGAAAGACAGAAGAAAAATTGTTCTAATGATTATGAGAGAGAGAATAGCAACTGCTCAAAAGTATGACAGTTCTGTACTTAGCAATTCCAAATATTATCCAAGACTGCACTAGATAAGCCTATCCCTTCCCCCCAAATGTCTCATCAAATCCATAATTAAGCAGCATAGGGGATGAAAGAGCCACATGGAGCAAGGAAGAACATCTTCACAAGAAGGTAGATAAGCAAGGGGAAGCAAAATGAACTCTTCAATATAAAGAGTGGTAAGGCCAGGAATATAGCTCAGCGGCACAGCACCTGCCTGGCAAGCGCAAGGTCCTGAGTTCAATTCCCAGTACCCATCCCCCCTGAAAAAAGCGTGGTATGAGTGCATCAGGGAGATATCACAAATAAGAATAGGTCAAAACCTGTAAATGGTAAGCAATGTAGGGATCTTATAGTCACGAAGCAGCAACAAGGTAGGGAGCCAAGCTTCCATCAAGGTCAGGGAGGCATGGAAACCTATGGAACAAAAATAGAAATGGGAATGGCCAGAGGAAAGACTGAGGTACAAGCAAGACACTTACAAGCACAATGCTTCTTTCATTGTGTCTACACCAACCCTCATGTTGCCCACCATCCCCATCCTTATCCGCCCCAGGTTCCTCAGTGAAAAAATTCTCAACCCTGGTACAGTACATGTAGCAAATGATGAATCAAGGTTTTCATCACATGGCATTTAACAAACCCAAATGAAGAGAGTTCCAAAGATAAAAAAGATACAACAATCAGGATAGAAAATTATCATGGAGCCACCCAGTATTCCTGTGAAGCAAAGGCTCTTACCTGGATGGAAAGCCACTACCAAATCTGGACGAGCTATCTGCCCAGTCTCTACCTGTTCTTCCCAGAAGTCATGATAGAGGCCCCTGTGGCCACTAAGGTGAACAGTGCCAGGTTCTGGAGTTGATATTGCAGTGCTCTGTAAAAAGCTAGTAGCCACATCTACACCCACCATGATCACATGGAGGCCAAGATGTCCAGGAAACATGTTGCCAAGCTCATTATAGTCCTCAGAATGAGTGAGAAACGTCTCCACATGAGAAGCACCAACCACATGCACTGTGCTTCCTCCAGTCTTTCTGGTGTTTATCCCCAGGGCCCTAAGGCCTAGGCCCAGCGTCAAGGGCCGTGACAAGGTATCTGTCAGCAGCCGCTTCAAAGACCCCCGCAGAACATCTGGGTCTGGTCTTGGCCTTCCTACACTGGTCCAGAGGATGGTCATGGCATGGCTACCTAGCACAGCATCCAGTGTAGCCTCTACCTGTAACCCTCTCATAGAAAACCAGGTATCCCAGTCCTGTACAACTTCAGCTGGCCATGGCCAAGGTCCTGAGGGTAGGACAAAATCACCTGTAAGAAAGAAGGAATAAGAAGTGACCTAAACCTTCCCTGGCTTCAAAATTCCCTCCTCATTAATGAGCAATAATCTCTCCATGTTTATTCTGCCAACATGTGATCCTAAGTGACCTATCCCTTCCCAGTTCTTTATTTCCCACCCCCCAACAATATGCTCTCATATTCTCCTCCAAGTACAACCAACTATGGCCACTAAGGCAGAGTTCCCCAATACCACCACTCCACCTGTGACCAGTAGCCATTCCATGAGACGATCCACAGCCACATGACAAAGCTCTCGACAAACCCTCTTGTGTGCCGGCCAGTCTGACCTCTGGCACTCTGGACCACAGTAATATACATTTCTGCACCTAAGAATGAGCCACAGAAATAAATATGAGTCAAACCCAACCAGAACAGATGTGGTCTTATCACCTGAATACAGTAAGTCCCCAATTCATGAACAACTTCTGTTCCAGGAGAACATTTGTAAGTCAGATTTATTTGTAAGTCTGACAAAGTGAGTCTTATACACTACACCTTTGACACAAATATACAATGTAAAGCACAGAAAAAAAACACATATGTAAAAATACTGTAAATAACTTTACTTTTTGTTTTTGTTCTTTTTTTGTTTTTCTTCTGGTACCAGGAATCGAACTCACGACCTTGAGATTGCCAGGCAGGCGCTTTGCCGCTGAGCAAATTCCCAGCCCTAACTTTACTTTTATAGTTACCTTAAAATGGTGGTATGGTACAGTACACGTAGTAAATAAACTATTTTCACTTTTAGTTACCTTAAAGTTCACTTTTAATTAGCTGCGGGTAGTGGTACACACCTGTAATCCTAGCACTTGGGAGGCTGAGGCAGGAGGATTACTTCGAGTTTGAGGCCTGGGCTACATAGTTCAAGGCCAGCCTATACTACAAAGTGAGACCCTGTCTCAAATTTAAAAAAAAAAGAAAAAAAAAGGTAAAGTAGTCATGTGAGCTACTTCCTCAACTTGTTCACACTGTGAATGCTCACACTGCAAGGTCCATTTGTGAAAGTTCACAACTCAAATGTTCGTAAATTGGGGATTTACCGTACTCAAGAAAAGGGAGTAAGGAAGAGTATGTCTGTTCTTGTCTCATCTCCCACAAGACCAAAAATAAGTAGGATTACAACTATGTCTAATCTCTCTGGGAATTTTGAGTTACACAAAATGAGGAATAAGACTTAAGTTATTCTGAAAACTCTGAATTTCCTCTTGGAATGAGGACTTAAAAATGGTTATTTCTGAATGTCTCCCCTATTAGCATGTCACAAATCACCTCTTACAGTGCCGGAGGACCTTGGAGTCTGAAAGGCCACTAGGTAATGCTCTACAGTGAGCACAGAATCGGAATGTGTCCTCCAATCTCTGGAACATTTCTTGAGGACATCGAAATCCAAAGCCTGACACAGGGGTACCCCCATCTACCGCCATCCTGTAGAAACAACAGGGAAAAGTGGCAATAGGGAAAACAGTATCTCCAAAATCTCTCATGACCCTTACTTTGCCTCCTATACACTTTCACATACTCTTATGTCTCCCACTCCCACACTTTTCTTAAGTAAATCATCTCTTCTTTAGTAATAAAACTGGCAAGTCAGGATGAGACAACTGCTCATTACAAATACCTCCTATTGCCCTTCATCTCCTGAAATCACTTCTACCAAAGACAATGTCTCTCTTCCATGGAGCTAGTCACTCACTTGTATTCTTCATAGCTTTTCATGTTCAGTTTTTGAAGAATCAGCTTGGATAGGCCAGGAACATTATTATCCAAGGAGAAGAAGCCAAGTGCATCAATGCTAGGGCCAGGTTTTGGGAGGGCCAGAGGCATAGGAGTCACAACTGTAGGTGGAGTTACAACCAGGGGAGTCACTGATGGAGGTTTCTTCTGCCTTCGTTGCCGTAAACGTGGAGCCATGGCCTGTCCAATGATACCTGGGGACTATATGCAGAACAGATATCAAGCTGAATTTGTCAAGTTGGACATGATACATTTTCAGGTGCTTGACCTTTGACTTTTCACTCCAGTCTCAGACCCAAATTACCAGTAAGATTTATTTACCATTTATGCATTACTGATCACCACAGGCAATTGTGAAAAACAGAGAAAGAATTATGTGAAGATATAATTTACACATGTGTTATATATGAAGTTCTGTATATAAATGTGTATGTAAGTAAATACACAGAAAAAGTCTGGCAGGACGCTTAGAAAAATAGGAATACAGATTAACTGAGCGGAAAAGAAGATAATGGCATGGGAACTGCGTTGATCAAAGGGGACTTCCTTTGCTGTACACTTTTTAATAAGGAGACTATATTCATATATTAGTGTATAGTATTTATATTTATTTAAAGGAACTGCCGTTTATAAGCAACAAGCCAAAAAATAGAAATTAAATGTAATATAAAATGAGTGTGACAATGCTAAGAGTTATGTAGTCCAAGTAAGTCAGGCAAATTATGAAGAAAATTTCCTAAGAAGTTAGGTTTTGAAGTAGAATTAAGGCTATATCCACTCCCTAGCTGAGACTATCTGATGCCCAACTTTCCTGTCTTATCTTACGTTCCCATGCCTTCTATAAGACTGAGTAGGCAAAAGGGACCACATTGGAAAATATTAAAACATCCACTCATTCAAAATATATTTATTAATAAACAGATAAAAATACAAAATGCAAAATACTGTATAGAAATAAATATGAAGAATATACATACATCTCATCTGAATGTCTTACAGGGAGATTAGATGTAAACTATTAGGTAGTATATGAATTCTCTAAGAAAAGTGAAATGAAACCTCTAATGGGAGATCAGAAGAGTCCCTTCAATGGATAAGCAATAGGAAGGCTTCATGAAGTAGGTAGCAGTTGGAATTACCTTGAAAAATGGGAATACTTTGCATATATGAAGATGGGGAAAAGGGAATTCTAAGTACCAAGAAAAGCATGACTATAGAAATTAAGATGGGAACATTCTTTAAGTTAATTAAACAGGATAATTTCCGTTTGAATGTTCTGTTTTTAAATATGAGAGCTAAATATAGCCAGGTGTGGTGGCACATGCCTGTAATCCCAGCACTTTGGAAGGCTAAGGCAGAAGGATCACTGCAAGTTCAAGACCACCCTGGGCTACACAGTGAGTTCAAGGTCAGCCTGAACTACATAGTGAGAACCTGTCTCCAAAAAGACAGCTACATATAAGTCTCCAGGGAAAACTTCATGACATGAATTTGGCAAAAATCTCTTAGGTATGTCACCACAAATGCAGGTAACACAGAAAAAGTAGATAAATGACTACATTGAAGTTAAAAACTTGTGCACATCAAAGGATACTACTGGGCTGGAGGTGTAGCTCAGTAGTACAATACATGCTTAGCATGTATGAGGACCTGGCTTCTATCTCTAACACCACAAAAAAAAAAAAAAAAAAAAAAGTGAGGACACTATAAAAGTGAAATGACAAGCTGGGCGTGGTGGCGCCCGCCTGTAATCCCTGCACTCAGTAGGCGGAGGCAGAAGGATCGTTGTGAGTTCGAGACCAGCCTGTGCTACAAAGCGACCTCAAGACCAGCCTGAACTGCATAGTGAGACCCTGTCTCAAAAAGACAAAAGAAAAAAGAAATGAGAGCCACAGAATGGAAGAAAATATTTGCAAATCATGTATCTGACATAGAGTTAACATCCAGAATATATAAGAACTATAACAACACAAAAAAAAACCCAATTAAAAAGTGGGCAAAATACTGTATTTGAATAGATATTTTCCGAAGAATATATGCAAATGGTGATAAGCACAAGAAAATATGTTCATTAATTAGGGAAATGCAAATCAAAACCACAATGAAATATCATTTCACATGAACTAGGATGGCTATTATACAAAAAAAATTAAGTACTGATAAGCATGTAATGGGAAACCCTGTGCAACACTGGTGGATATGTAAAATGGTGCAAGCACCATGGAAAACAGTACAGCAGTTCCTCAAACAGTTGGACCTAGAATTACTATATGACCCAGCAGTTTCATTCTTATGTATATATCCCTAAAAACAGGTATTTAAACAAATGCTTATACATTAATGTTCAGCAAATATCATTTAATCATAAAAAATACTGACATGCTAGATAAACCTCAGAAACATTATGTTAAGTGAAAGAAGCCAAACGTAAGCAGTTACATGCTTGTTTTTGGGTTTTTTGTTTGTTTTTTTGGTACCAGGAATCGAACTCAGGACCTTGTGCTTGCCAGGCAGGCACTGTGCCACTGAGCTATATCCCCAGCCCTGGTTATATGTTATATCATACCATTTATATGAAATATCAAGAATAGGTCAACTGAGAAAGCGGATTGGTGGTTGCCAGGAACTGGGTGAAGGGAAATGAGGAATAACTGCTTAACAATTATACTTTCTTTTCTTCCCCCTCCTCCTCCGTGTGTGTGTGTAGCGGCGGGGCGTGCTGGGGACTGAACCAGGACCTCATGCATGCCAGGCAAGTACACTATCAATGAACTACATCTCCAGCCTGGGATTTTCTCTTGGGGTGATAAAAATGTTTTGGAATTAGACAGAGGTGGTGGTTCCACAAACTGTGAATGTACTAAATGCCATTTAATTACTAATTTAAAATTATTTTGTTATGTGAATTTTACCTCAAGAAAAAGACAAAGGGCCAGGGATGGTGGCGTACGCCTGTAATCCCAGCACTTGGGAGGCTAAGGCAGGATTGTTGTGAGTTCAAGACCATCCTGGGCCACAAAGTGAGCTCAAGGCCAGCCTGAACTGCACAGGGAGACCCGTCTCAAAACAGACCAAAAAAAAGGAAGAAAAGTATCCATAGGCATTGAGTGGCTAAAATAATTATCAATATCTAGATTACCTGCTAGGGATATAGCTCAGCAGGACAGCACCTCCCTGGCAAGTGTGATGACCTGAGTTTGATATTTCAGTACCAAAAAAAAAAAAAGAAAAAGAAAAGAAAAAAAATATCTACGCTAGATTACCTGCCTCCTGGGCCAGGAAAATGAGTAAGAGGATAAAAACACTGGCAACAGTTAGTTTTACTGTGAATAAAGTAACAAAGTTCAAATCAGGGATCATGTTTTGTTAAAACAGCCTGACATTTGATCAAAGGGTGTGACATATGATCCTTCTGGTCCACATCTATCAGAGGGAAAAAATCTCAAGAATCATCATGTGGCTGAAGTATACATAGGTGGCAAAAACAAACAGTCCCAGCATGATCCAACTTTTGCACACTATTAACCTCTGTCCTGAGGTTAATGGAGGAACAAATTTCTTTTTCTCTGTACTTTCTTCTCATCCCTGTTTTCATCTACACTGTCATTATCTCCCCTTAACTCATCGGTGAATGCACTGAGTCCACAGAATAAAGCTCTTCTGTGTATCACAAGATTTACATTACTATCAAAGAAACAGAGCTTACTATCAAAGAAACAGAGCTTAATAAACTACTTTAAGGTTTAAAGGTTATGTCCCTTTACTCAAGTGTAGATGAAATTGCCATTCATACTTCAGAATTCCAATTCTAACAGCTGATCTGATTTTACCCTCCACTTTTTTTTTGGCAATGCTAGGGATCACACATGGACTTCATGCACACTATACAAGTACTCTGTTGCTAAGCTAAAACCCCAGTCCAACTGCCCTCCATTTTTAATCACTATACATTCTCAGTGCATTTCCAGAATTGCTGCCATTAGAGAAAAATAATTTATTTGCTCTGTCTGCCATTGCTTCCAGCCCAGGTGAAGATAGTTCCTTCTTCAGCCTTGAAAGAATAGGACTTTCTCTTTTTTTTTTTTTTTTTAACAGAGGGAAAGTACCTTACCTTGAGCCAATTTTAGGGTCTTAAGTCCCAAGATTTATAATAAATGTTTCCAATGCTAAACCAGAAGTGTTTTTGTTGCAGTGGAAGCCAATTAAGATCAGAAAGGGAAGGCTGAGGCAAGAGGATTGCTGTGAGTTTTAGGCCTGCCTGGGCTACACAGTGAGTTCAGGGTCAGCCTGACACAGCAAGATCCTGTCTCAAAAGAAACAAACAAACAAACAAAAAACAACCCCAGAAAGGTACTGCATACCTAACTGAATTTCCAAGGATATCTTCCTCAAAGAAAGATTAACTTGGAAATATAGGGGTTTAAAAGAACTGGCTAGGCTAGCTCAGTGGGACAAGCGCCTACCTGGCAAGCACAAGGTCCTGAGTTTGATCACCAGCACCAGACAAAAAAAACATAGAAAAAGAACTGGCTAGAAGTTAAAAGAAGCACACGGCTCAGAGAAATGAAGAAAGAATTGTGAAATCCCTAATGCCGTAGTCTCCATCTCCACAGTATCTAGAACACACTGTTGATCTACAGCACAAATGCGCTGGCTTTCTGACAAGAAGGTAAAAAGGTAGGAATGAGTTTAGGTCTTTGCATATATATATTTCTTTCTTTAGGCACGCCTGTCTGAGTCTGTATACCTCAGGACCAGACACAGCTTCTCTGGTTCTAACTTTCCTGCAAAGAGCCTCAGTCTCTTCCAACTTCAAAGGGTATAAACTGACAGACGGAAAAAAAACAGGGAACACAAGGGCAAAGCTGGAAAGAATTATGGTAAATTCTCAAAACTTAACAGAGTTCATTCAGTTTACCTAGAAAGAGAATCATTTTTTTCTAGCCATACTCTGTAGGCTGCAACCACAATCATGTAACCAATTGTTTGTGAACTGAAGCACTACTATGTAAGTTCCTACTATATGAGAAAGGACTGAAGAGATATGAACTGGATTATCTAGAATAACTGTCATTCTTCACTTCTAATTTACAAGCCAAAATATTAAACCTATTCCTAGACAGAGGTCTCCCATCTTTCTCCTTCCTTACCAACTGAAAAGCCTCAATTTTCACCTAAGTCACTGATACTGTCTCACCATTTCCAGACCAAGATGGCCCACCCAATATTCTCTAATTCACCAGCAAACACCAAACATCTTTCAGAAGGTGAGGAGAAGGGGGAGTAAAGATGGTCCCTGAGGACCCACAAAAAGGGTAGGAAAGAGAAAAGAAATACATTAAGAACACTGCTATTATGACCATATTCAGTGTTTTCATCACTGATTAACACTCCCTGGGGTGATAAATACTTTACTCAATTATAAACTAAGCAAGCAGACAGGTTGATGGGAAAGTAACTTACCCTGCTAAGCCCTAGGCTTCCTTCTTTCTCTCTTCCCTCCAAGTGAAGTGAGTGTTTGATCTCTTCAGATCTAGGTTGTGGCTTACTTGCACCTGTCCCTTCATATCACTTTCCTTTGCAAACTGCTGAAATGATACGTCTCAGTGATTAAATGTGCCCTGCCAACCAGAAAGACAAGGCTGACTTCTCCCTAATGAGGCAACTAAGGACTTGGACCACTGCCCAAGGATCTCTCTTTGATCCTTATTTTCTGCCAAGAGTGCTCAAGACTCTGTCAACACTCCCAAGTCACCAAAAGCCTGGCAAGCTGGGGAGAAATGAAACCTACTGCTCCCTGGACTTTTTTCAAGGCAGTATTTCTATTCTGAGTTTACATCTTTAAAAAAAACAAACAAAACCCTTGGAATTAGTTTAGAAGTTAGCATTTGGTTGGAAAGGGTAGGCATTTTCCTGGAGAAACTGAAATCCCTGAAGTCCCTGGATGTCAATCTAGACACAGGATGAGTTCCCCCAAAGCTAGTGTCTTTTTTTTCGCATAAAACTGCTCAAACAGACCTCAACAATGTCCAATCTAGGCGTAAGTATAAATTTAATTACCCAAGAAAGGAGAAGCGAAATGGTCATTTAACAGTAATCGACTGCAGGAGAAATGAGCAGAATTTGTAAAATTCACATTTACTAAAAGAGAAGTAAGGTATTCTCCAAGAGAGTGACCCCCGTGGTATTCTACCTATTTCAGAAGAGACTTTTGTTGGGAATCGAACTCAGGACCTTGTGCTTGCCAGGCAGGCGCTGTGCCACTGAGTTATCTCCCCGGCCCTGCATTCTACCTATTTCAAAAGAGATATAAATATTTCTAGACTACAAGCCCAACACTTTGTTTAAAACTAGAAGTGTATAATATTTCTAGGAATGGAACATGGAAAAGAATCCACTCAATCATCCCTTTATTCCTTCTCATAATGGCTGCTGACCCAGCACAGTCATAGTTCCTTTTCTCAAAGCTACTGAGCTGTACGATCTATCAGAACATGTTAGGGCAGTGGTCCTGTATGACTGCAGGACCTGACTATCTGATTACATCTGATGCCCTGTCACTTACCTGTCTCTGTGAATATCATCAAAACAGGGAACATAACCTCTTGCTACAAGGTCTTTGAATGTGGCAAATTAAATCCACAGGTGTTGGATTTTTTTGTTGTTATTTGTTTTGGTACTGAAAACACAACCAAGGGCCTTTGTACCAACCTACATCCCCAGCCTTTTTTAAATTTTGAGACACAGCCTCACTGAGTGATTAAGCTGCCCAAGCTGGGCTTGAACTTGTGATCCTTTTGCCTCAGCCTTCCACAAGTGCTGGGATATACAGGCATGTGCCACCAAGCCCAGCTAAATCCACATAGTTCTGAGGCGGAGAAAAGAATCCATTGGAATCTTGAACTGTAGAAAGCACAAACTATAGTCAGAGAAGAAGAACCATATTAAGGAATCAATGAAACATTACACAACATTATGTAGAATAGCTGTGAACAAAGAAAAATCAGTCACAATAGGCAAAAAACCTTGCATAAAATAGGGATGATTCATTCTAAGCAGAACTTTCAGGACAACTTCAAGTTTAACAGGTTTTAAAACTTCAAACTCCAAAGAGATTATGATTGTATTTTTTTTTTTTTTTTTTTTTTTTTTTTTTTGAGACAGGGTCTCACTATGCAGTTCAAACTAGCCTTGAGCTCACTTTGTAGCCCGGGCTGGCCTCAAACTCGCAAGATCCTCCTGCCTCAGTCTCCCAAGTGCTGGGATTACAGGCATTGGCCACCACAGACTGTATCGCTAATGTCTGAACTGCAGAAGGTACAAGATGTGAAAAGACTGACTCTGGTAATTGAAACACACCATCTTGAAGAGAATGACAAAAATTTTGATGTTGAATATATTTTACCATCACTACTACTTGCACTAGTAGACATTTAAAGTGACAATTTAAGATCTACACTTTTCACAATTTGCATTCATCCTGAGTTGCATTAAAAAATATAAATACTTAACAAATAGTTTATTGTAAAGCTAAGAAAGAATTGAAAGATGTTCTCATTCAGCAAGTAGGAAGTAATCTGTGAGGCTGGGTGATATTCTACCACTTTGTGTATACTTTTTTTTTGTTTTTCAGTCAGGTTCTCGCTATGCAGAGAACCTGGCCTTAAACCCACTAGGGAGCCCAGGATGGTCTTGAACTCATTGCAGTCCTCCTACCTCAGCCTCCCAAGTGCTGGGATTACAGGCATGCCCCACCACACTTGGCTTTACACTACTTTTTTTGAGCTGTTTCCTCTTAATTTTTACCATTCACCTAGAATTCTCTAGTTTGCTAATCATGTTTTATGCTTACCTATAACTTCCACAAACATTATATAACTGTAGTGATGAACCTAAGGGTTAAAGACATTTCTGGCACCTAATATAAAATTCCTACTTTAGAGATGCACAGCTATCATGAAACACCAACATTAAAAATAAATCTTTAAGGTATGCAGTGCATAATAACGTTCAAGGCAGTTCATGAACTAATTTGCAAGTTAATATCACATCAAATAGTAATGATTAGTAATTTGAGGAGTTCTGTTTTTTTAACTGGAATTAGGTATATATATTTTGATGTAAATTTATGTTTTATAATGTATTTATAATTATTGTTCATGTTGTATATGAGAAACCCAACATTCTATAATTTAAAAAGCAAAATAAAAGACAGATAAGACACCAAGATAGATGTTGTGGAGATAGGAAAGGGATCTGGGTATAAGGGGAGATGGAAGGAACGGGAGGAGAACAGGAAAGATCATGATGTAATACCTATATGTACCAATTTTCCATGATGAATGCATTTAATATGTATCACAAACATATATATGTATATATATATATGTATATTTTGTCCTAGGAATCAAACTCAGGACTTAGCGCTTGCTAGGCAGGTGCCATGCTGCTGAGCTACATACCCAGCCCACATAAACATATTAATAAAAAAATTAAAAGAAGGACTATAATTAAATTATTTTACAAAATGTAAGCAACACCCTAATTTCCCTTGATTTGCAATATCTTATACTTACTTTGATTATGGCAAATTAGCAGTGTGATGGCAAGAATATCCAGCATCATTAATAATTTTTTTTTTGCTTGTTGTTAAAACATCTAATAATTTCCCAATACCACTATAACAATATTCTAAGCAAGAACATCTTCTTTCAATTAAAAGTTAATGAAAATAGTGATTTTAAATATATTCAGGAGAACTACAGTAGGCATCCAAAGTCCTCTAGTGCTCAGTTACTAATGGTCATATAAAATAAACATAACAAAAGTTAAAGGGAAAAAAAAGATGAAGACAACAATTTAATTCATCAAAATCACCATGTACTATCAATCAGATAATCTCTGAAAGATATTCCAGCTCCATTAACAGAATTTTTTGATTAGCATAAAAAGGTCAAATCAGACTGCATTTTCCAAATAAAACCCAACACAGAGATAGGAGCAGCGGCCCATGCATGGAATTTATTGTGTGCTATTGTTTATAAAATACTCGAATAGTCCTGGACATGCATAATATTTCCAACTTAGACAGGAGACCATACAGGGTGCACTTTCTGGCAAACAAAACAATAGACGGTTCCGCTGCCTGGAGCTCTGAGTTGTATTCCAGGGCATGAGGAAAGCAGGCCACCAAAGTAAGGGGAAATACCAAACTACAGTGGCAATCAATACAGATCAGTAATTGTGTAAAATTAGCACATGGTTCCATTTAGTTTAACCAAGCAGTTCTGTAACTATCAAAAGAAAAATTTCAACATGCAGTCTTGACTTTTATGCTTCCACTAACGTCTGAAGGATTGAACAGAACCATTGTTTCTAGGCTGCATTGCTTAATCAAAAACACTTCCAGAACATTTAAAATTTCCTTTGCATTAAAACATAAAAATGATAGAAAGCCATCAGCAAATCACCCTGGTGGCTATTTAAGTAACTGGAGTACTCACAATAAACTAAAATTTCTCATAACATCTAGGTAACCTATACATGTTGTACCTGTACATCATAGGTCTATATATTAAATATTTTCAAAATGAAAACATGCATACACAAAATACGTCAAGTTTTACAGACATGATTTGAATTAAAATTTACTTTGACAATGTACAAACTTCTTTTAAAGTACCTTAAGTGAGTAATTCTGTAATTCTTCATAATTTTGAAATTTAGAGGTTTTCTTCTTAAATCTCTGGGGTATAAATCTCAAAAGATCTGGGCAAAAAAGATTCTAAATTAGTTTTTGGATTTTTGTTCAAGTAAGAGTATTCCTAGAAATAGTTTATATATTCATAATTGAAAAATATCAAGACTATGTTACAGAATTAGCCACATTTAAGAACTCTAGACCTGAGGTCAACATTTTGTATAAACGCCAACTGGGTTTTTCTCAGCATTTTGCCTACAATTCAAAATACAGCTAGTAACCTCAGAAATATATTTTAAGACCATGCTAATTCATCCTTTAAAGACATTTCATTGAAAAAAAGTCCACATTAACTCTTAGGATTGCATTTGAAGTCATGATTGAAAAAAAATCTAAGTCTACTGAGGGAAAAAAGAAATCTCGTTTGTAAACTTAAATGTGTGAACCACAAGCATAAATGGAGGTTGTAGATGCCCTCCACTGGGAATTGCCCCAAGCCCCTTGCTCACTACTCTCCACCTTGGCAGCGATGACCCAAACTTATCAGATAGCACATGTCCCAGGGCCCTCAAGCCTCCATCCGGGAAGGGGGCTAGGGACTCAAAAAGCACAATGGTTTCTTCAGAGGGACTGTAACATTTATAGTCAGCTTGCCCAACCCCTCCAGCTCCTCGGGTGATTTGTCCATTTGGGGCCCGAGTTGTGAGAGTCCCTGGGAAGTCGATGGTCACTGGGCACTATGGTTGCCAGTCCCGTGGTTCTCAGTGGCATGTGCGGTGCTCAGAGAATTGAAACCATCTTGTTGTACAGCATCTTTCCGGGGTGGCATTCTCTCATTGATCCTATCCAAACCCTTTGCCTCTTCAAAACTGCAGATTCTATGTGGTGGAGAGAATCCTCGTATTGCTTAACAAAATGCAAATTTGATAAGTCAGTAATTGTAAAACAATTCTGAGATTTAAAAAAATAAACAATGTTTTTTTAAGAAGAAAGAAAATAGCTGTAAGGAGCAACACTTATATCTACTTTAACTGAATCCTACCCCCATGCCAGTCTTCCCCTTAAAATGTGAAATGTTTAAACCTAAATATAAACATGATGGCTTCATATGAAAAATGTTAGGATAGCTTTAATACTAAAACAAAACAACACACAAAAATGATCCTTCCCTGCCCACAAAATCAATTTCCAGGTAATGGTCTCAGGATTAAGTCTGACTTCTGTATCAGTTATCTCCTACCTTAGATCCTAAGATCACCAGTGACTATCACAGTAATGTAGCAACAAGAGTAGGGTAGGTGAGGAGGCTAAACAAGGTTAATCCTCAACATACAAATCTGTACCAACAGCTCAGGAGGAGAAAGTGGTAAAGTTATGTTACAATTTAGTAGATTAGATTTAGCTTGGAGGTCATTACTCCATCAGCGTCAATATGCAAAGAAAAAGGTAGGAAATGCCCCCAAGAGTTAAATATGCATTTGACCAAGAGCAAAAATTATTTATAGCTTCATATTTTAGATGTTTTTCTTAATTTACTGGGCATTTACTACAAATTCTTTGGAAAATCAAATCAAAATAAATAACAGTCCTTCACCAATTGCTATGGATTTATTCATTTCATTTGGAATGATACTTCCTCCCTTATTAAACTGCTCATACTAAAGATTTCCATAGTTCTAGCTATAATCTGATTATTTAATATGTGCAATCCCTGATACTTAGTCTGTGTATATGAACCAAACAAATGGCTGAGACAGCAAAACATTTAGTAATGTGTAAGATCAAGCTAAGGTAATTTACATGAATATAATCATCAGTAAATTATAGCCTAAGTTGCAGAAAAAAATCATTATTGTAACAGTTTCTGCACTCTCAGGCACATTACTGAAAATGAGTAAAAACAAACTCACACACTTATCTAGAGCTTTCACTTATAGGAAAAAAATCTAAGTAGCAGAGAATCATGCAAAATATAGAGTAGATCTCTATTTGCAGAGTTATGTTTAGTATTTTCCATTAAAACAGGCAACATTAAATGTTACAGCATAACATTTATCCTCTAAAAAATCAGGAACATTAAATTATGAATGTATATTTAAAACGACTGTACTATGGACATCAATTCTTGGGATTAAAAAAAAAAGACGAAAGTGACTGTTAAACCTGATGAGTCAGTGAGTACGATTCATCTTGGGCTGTGCAAGCTAGGAGTAAGACACACCCACAGGACATTCTCTGATGCCCACCCACACACCACAGATCTCTGCCCAGTATAAGGACTCTGATCGTACCTTTTTCAGCCTCAATAGCCTCAACTGTGGCTGTACAGAAGTGAGCAGAGGCATGCAAAATGAATGAGAGAGATGAGAAGGGTCATATTGTACAGCAGAAAAGGCAATGATCACTTTAAATATCACAGTACCCCATACTACATCATCATTTACAATTTAACATAAATAGTACCCATATTAGAGTCCCATCCAATCCCCCAATTCCTGACACACCACAGTTTATACACAGCACTATGACAACATCAGAGAACAGAACATGTAGACCTACTGTAAACACAGACACCTCAGTACCCATGTAAATGACTCCAGTATTATTACCCTTCTTGAATTCACCATTTTGATGGCATTAGAATTTTCCATTGTTAACCATCTGATTATAATCACAGGAAAATTCTCTAGGGTAAAATTATGATGATAGAATTATCTTCTTTCATGTCTAATGGAAACAATGCTTATCACCAGTTGGATTCATAATATACAAACTCAAAGAAGTCAACAATGGTTTGCCTGTCACTTCTAATTACAAGACAAGACATAAGCAGCAAGAGCTGGTATAGTTACAATGAAATTTAAGCGCCATAAACTTAGTCTAAGTAGAACTGTTCTATAGCTCTGTTCTTTGTGAAGAACCTTAAAAAGACCTCTCTTGTCTAGTAGAAACTTCTTCCTTTGCAACTTTCTTTTTGTTTGTTTTTTAGATGAAATTTTGCTATGCTGCTCAGGTTAGTCTCAAACTCTTAGGCTCAAGCAATTCTCCTGCCTCACCTTGGCAAGCACCTAGGACTACAGGAGAACAGCACTGCACCTGGCTTCTATTCTAATATTGATGGCCCCAAAATATAAACATTTATACCCTAAAAAATCTATTTATATTCAGCCTATTATGAATTTGTGTTAAGAACTAGGACTCTGCATTTTTTTTTTCTTTTTTGTCTTTTTGAGACAAGGTCTCATTATGCAGTTCAGGCTGGCCTTGAGCTCACTTTGCAGCCCAGGCTGGTCTCAAACTCCCAATGATCCTCCTGCCTCAGCCTTCTGAGTGCTGGGATTGCAAGCGAGCACTGCCATGCCTGGCTCAGACTCTGCACTCTTAATTAGAGAAAGGCTTCAGAACATCTTTTCAAACCTACCAACCAATTAAAGAGGCATCAAGGGATGGAACTGAGGGGTTTTTCAGGCAATAAATTGTAACTATTTCATGATATGGATATTCATATTCATATAGGTCATATTATAAATAAGAAATGCATCTTGGTATAGCTAATACTGGCCCACTTAACTTCAACATACTTAGCTGTACATTTTATAGTCAAAGATTCTTTAATAGTTTGTTTCTGGGTTTAAACTGTAAAAAGAGCTCACACTGAAGACCTGGGCCTAACATTGCACAGAAAAATATTGTCTCACAATATTGCCCTTTCTGTACTTTACGCAAAGTACACATACTTAGAATATTTGTATTCTCCTTAAAAAAAAAAAAAAAAAGAGTATTTGTGTTTTCCCTTGTTTCTTTTATAATAAAGCCGATTAGAATAATTATTAAAATATCCTTTTAGGAATAAATGTAATTTAGAGATGATATAATTTATCTAAAGCACTTACTAATATGAAAGGGTACTGATGAATCCATGGAATTAAGATAACACTGCTAATCTTAAACAGACATTAAAGGAAATTTAGGAATCCAAAAGAAACAGGATAAATACCAAATAAAGGAAGAGTTCATTTTCCTTAATTATTAAATTATATTACAAATAAGACACATCATCAATGACAAGAAGAATCTACACCTGAATACCTAAAAAGTACTCCTGGAATGTGCCAGTCAGAAAACTAGGCCCTAGGGGGCTGGGGATTTAGCTCAGCGGCAAAGTGCCTGCCTGGCAAGCGCAAGGTCGTGAGTTTGGTTCCTGGTACCGGAGAAAACTAGGCCCACTAAACAACCCACTTCTGTTTGATCAGGGCTGGAATTTCTACTCTTCAGAACTGACAAATTTCACTATAGTTTAATGATTAGAGAAAAAAAAAGTCTACCAGAATTTACTTTAAAAGAGAATTTACTTTATGATAACAGAAGTTACTTAGTATGAAACATTCTGTAACTTTCACTGTGTATGGTAATAAATTAAGACTGAAAACTGATCTCACTATGAAAATTAGTATCTACTTGATTCAATAGTTTAAAAGTCTGTTAGTATGTTTTTAAAGTATGAAATATAGTAATACACTTTCAAAATCATTCTATGTGCTTAATTTTATATAGAAAGGCATTTTCTAGGTCAAAAAATATTCTCTGCTCTTTCTTCAGGACTTTAACTGATCCCAAGTGTTTTCTAGAATATAAAATGGATAACATTCAAAACTGCATACTATAAAGGCTGAACGATTAGAATTGAAAGATAGGCATATGAAGCTTAAACACTAAGCTTAAGAGAGCTAATAACTGGAAACTTTTATTCTGAAAAGTACTGTTGCATTTCACCTCTATTTGTTTTCAACTATGTAGGGCATCCTAATATAGCCCAACTAAGTTTAAGTATAGTGCTGCCTTAAACTGTGTTTCTCAATACAACACAGAATAAAGGACCAAGAGGAATTTGACATTATTAAAGTAGAGTTGGCCACATATTTTCCCATGCAAGTCTTTGACAGTAGCATTTATGGCTATCTCCCAGTCAAATTTCTATGAAGAAAACACATATAAAATATACACATAACATTTAACTCCATTAAGAGTTGTGCAGTTTATACAAACACTCAAGAAATATTACTTATATTAACTTCAAAATTATTGAAAAGACAATTTATGTTTTCTGATAGGACTGAAGGCTCAGAATTAAAATTTTATTTTTCAATACCTCTCACTTGTAAAGCCTAACATCAGACAACGTATCTGCTGAAATTAAAAGTGTTATATAATTTTTTAAAAATCAACAGATGCAGCTTCTGCAAGAGTTTTGTTATTTGTTTCAAAGTGAGTTTATCTTAGGGAAATAATTTCAACCAAATGCTCAAACCATACTATCAAAAGCCGTTACTAGCAGACCTGGTTGGGTGGGTATACAGTTTCCCAAGTTAGACCCCTTAAGCTCAGCTCCCTCCAGTAACTCACACTCTATGCTGGGAATAGACAATCCCTTCAGCAAAGCTGCTGTCTGTCAAACCTTCCCTGCCGTTGAGGGTGGTTTCCAAGGTGGAGGAATGAACTTCAGGCTGCATGCGAATTAAGAATAAATAGAAGTGCTCAACTGTCAACAAAGCATGTCATTAGCAGGTGCTAACTATGAAATCTGAAAGCAAGATTTGCTATGGATATAATGTAAAAGTATTAATATATCCAAGGATAATCGACAGATGGCCATAGTATAAATTGAATTAAGTATGATACCCTTTCAATTTTTTTTTTTTTTTCTAAACAAAGAGGAGTAAGGGTATAACATTTTTGAAGCTATTTTTTTTCTTTTTTTGAGACAGGGTCTCGCTATGTAGTTCAGGCTGCCTTTGAACTCACTACGTAGCCCAGGCTGGCCTTGAACTCATGGCTTATCCTCCTGCCTCAGCCTCCCAAGTGCTGGGATTACAGGCAATCCCACCATGCCCAGCTTTTGAAGCTATTAAAATTCATCTTTTAACATTTTTGCTAGTCTTAAATGCTTAAGGTCTTCTTAATTTGTTTTAATGTACATTCATGAAACTTTCTTTAGCTAATTTTTCTAATACTTATTATTTAAAAAATGGAGGGCAAGGAATGTAACGAGAAGATTGCAGAATTTTGGGTTTTAATTGGAAAAAGAAACCCAGGGCTGGTAGCTCAGTGATAAGAGTGCATGCTTAGCATGCTTGAGGCCTGGGCCTGATACCCAGCACCACAGAAAAACAAAAATGAAAGAAAAAAAAAAAAGAAACCTTGTACAGAATGAAAATTTGAAACTATAATTTCAAAACATAGTTGTATTCAGATATGCCAGTGGTGGTAGCAGACAATACAATAACATACAAAATAAAACATATATAAGCTACAAGTAAAAAGGATCTGTCTACTGGAAAAAATTATTTTTATTATAAAGGAATTGAGTGAAGTTGTAAAAAGTCAATATAATTCAAATTTATTAAAAAATTTAAATTAAAATATCCTATTTTTTTCACTTTAAAAAATTTGTTAATTATAACACCAAAACAAATTATTAATAATGATTAAGTAAAACACCAGATCTGTTGCTGCCTGTTTTAATAGAACAATGACCCTTGGAGGGCTGTCAAAAGTGGCTACAATAAAATATAAATTCAGGTTTTTCCATATCAAAAGTTTTGCTTTCTAATCACAAAGGAAAGAAATCTAGATGCTGAGTCACTGTATAGGCTACCACATTACAACCATTTCTTCTACTTAATCTATAATGGGCTTTAAAAAAGTTAAATCAGTGTTTACACAAATATTTCTGCCAAAAGTTAGTTTTTTAAATATAAAATATTCAACGAGCCAGATTACAGGAATGCTTTACGTATATTTCTTTTTATTTTCATGCAAAATAAAGGCACACCTTTCAATTTTGACTTACAGGATTTAAATTCAACCCCTTATAACAATGACTTATTATCTAATATTACATTCATGTTCAGAATGCACAAAGTGCAGCAACAAATGCAGCAAACCTCAAAGAGTGCTGCAAAGCTGCTTCTACATCAAAAGACAGACAAGTGTCTGAGAGAATAATTTAATTGAACATACTTTTACAGACATACAGCTAACCTAAAGAAAGACAGACAGATTTAGAAAAGCAGCTACATCTGCAGAGGAAGGAAACAGCATGTTACAGACAGTCAATTATACATAGAACATTTGACAAACACCACAGAAAACAAACTTTGGCGTCATTTACCATAGTACAAAACCTTGCGCAAATCTTCTGGCAAGTGAAGTGCGTAAGTGATGTTCTGGGGCCTAACCAGACTGTTAATTCTAAAATTAAGTACTTGAAAATATAAGCATAGTCTAATACAATTACATAAATATAAAAAATAAAAAATAAGAAACGTGGAATTACATTTCCATTTTAGTATTATGGATATCCCTGATTCACATTCTAAATTGGGGCTTTTAAAAGAAAAGGGGGCATTGACAAATGAGTGGATAAATAAATAAGTCAATCAATCCATCAATCAATCAAGACATTATGATATGAGCTGCTCCCATATCATTTCATGGAAAGCTGAGGAACTAACCATTATTTTTAAGTGGAAGGACTACACACTCACACTATCAATATCCTGCCCTGGTCAGGTATTAATCAGACATCATCTATTATATAGTACCCTGCTGGTGTCAGCTGCTGAGACAGGAACTAAAGAGCAGAAGGAATTCCCTGCATGCATTACGTGTATTACTAGAAAAAGAGGGAGGTGTGCCCCAGTCCATCTGAGGCACAGCAAGTTGCATAACATCATTACCACTTTGCAGGGTCTGCCGTCCTCCAGCCAACACTCCACTAGGCAACATCCCTGTGGGAGTCAGGCCCTTGAGTGTCAGCACACTTTCACTCTCCTCCCTGTAGCAGAGAGATATAATAAACATCAGAGACTTTCAATAAGTAGTTTAAAAGAGATGGGGCTGAGGTGTAGGCATGCATATAATTCATAACATTTAATATCATTTACCATATTCTAAATGTTTCAGGGAGCACACCTTAAGACAGACAATACTACCTTTCCTGGAAAAGCCTTACTTACTTACTTACTTTATTTACTTACTTATTTATGGTTTTTTGTTTTGTTTTGGGGACAGGATCTCTCTATATAGTGCAGACCAGCCCTAAATTTACTATGTAGCCTAAGCTGGCCTCTTACTTGTGATCTTCCTGCCTCAACCTTCCAAGTGCTAGGATTAATTATGTGCCATCAGAAGCATTAAGTATGTGGTAAGATCCAGTATCAAAAGGCATCATACAATTGAACAATTATAGTATTTCATATGTTCTGAAGTTCAAATGTTAAAGATAATTAGTTTTTCTAACAAACTTTGAAGGACTGATCTATTCATTTGCATCCTTAAACTTGGTCTCCATGAAATAACCCCAGGAAGGCAATCTGTGCTTCCAGCAAAAGGAATGCCTTACATGTGTGAGCAAATTCATCAAGAACACCAAGCAAAAATAATTTTCTGTATGCACAAGCAAATTCATTGGGGCTACTCTGAAAAGCATCCCCTCCTGTTCCTGATCTTATTTTCAAGGTATAAATATAATACTTTCATCACAGAAGGAGAAGAGATACTAAAGACAAGTGATAATAATCACAAAGGTAAAACAGTTTACTTCAAGGTCATGGCTCACCGGCAGAGTGCACGCTTTCATCATGTGTAAGGCCTTGAGTTCCACCCTTAGTATTATAGGAAATAAAAACACAAACAAAAACAAACAAACCCTAGATTCAAATGGACTTATGTTCCCTTCTTCAGTATAGAAATATACAACTAACTTCTTTACTTTACAGGAAGCTACCATGTTGCCTTTAGATGTCAAGCAGGACAATTCTCATGAACAAAGTACAAAAAAGTAATTTCTGCAAGACAAATCATCAGGAAAATATATCATTACCTGAGAACAGAGAAGACTCTTGCCATCTTGCCAATTGCTCGAATTTTATTTCTTATGATTTCTTTCCGGGCTGCAGCTGAACCTACTTTCAATAGAATAGAAAGAAAGGCTCAAGTTTAGGACATCCATGCTTGATTATTCCATCAGCCTGTTTCATACTCATCTAAACCAAGACCAAGTCCCCTGCCACCAGCTACACGGAGGAGACTAGCTAAACTCATGCCAGGAAGTTTCCTATTTTCTCCATGTTTAGCTCAGCGTTGGCCAAATGTTGGAATCTGATACAGATATAGGTGAAAAGTAATCCACAAACGTTAACCATCTCACACTGCTGACTAATCAGTAGAACAGCAATGGGAAAAACATTTGAGCCCAACTTGCATTACAAACCAAAGGACAAAACACTAGTAACAATCCTATAGTGTCTTTAATTTTCATGAGAACCCATGCATGCAGGCTAAGAGACAAGAATAGTAATCTCCTGTTATCTTCTGTTTAACTAAAGCCTTTAACATGCAGGCTGGAAATATCTCATCATATTAAGAATAATTCTTATTATTAAGAATAAGTTTCCTTGCTCTAAGTTGACCTAAAAATAAAAGGTACTACCATGCACATAATCCCAAACTAAGGGTCACACCCACATTTCAACAACAACTTAATGGACTAGATGTCCTCTAAGGTCATGGAAGTATATATATACTCTTACAACTGTATGTGAATATGACATAAACAATCAGAAAACACTCCCTTAAAATCCTGGCTTCATCTCTCAAGGGAGCTGTGTTATCACTGATACACAATACAACTGGACCCTTGGCTGAACAGAGACTCCAAGGTTTTATCTTCCTTCCCTTGGCCTCCAGAAAGAACAACAATCTCAGTCCTATTATCTCATATATAGCAACTAGAATCACTCTGGACCCAAGAGTGTGGTTCCTTAGAGTTGTGCTTCAACATGATGAAAACACACATATGGAAGCACTATGGTTGAGGAGAAGGTTAAGGAAAGGCTAGAGATGCTAGAACAAAAGGGGCCTAGGGTACAGAAGTCTAAACAATCATAAGTCTTCTATGCTATAACATTCCGTTTAAAATTCAAACAGCTTACAGTGCTCATTTTGGCAGCACATATAATACAATTCAAACAGTCAATAAATACATATAATTAAAAATTAAGATGATGACTGGACTTGACCGCAATGAAACAAAAAAGAAATCCAATTTAAAAGCTGAAAACATCAGATATATTTTAGAGAAAAAGGCTCCACGACCATGTTTACGACGTTCTTAAAGGGTAATGTCATAAGCACTGAAACTACAGCTTCTTACAAGTCCAAAACTGTGTGGGTATCACAGCACTAAATAGGTATTTTTTAGATGTCAAAAAAAAAATACTAATAGCCTAAGAATCACAGAACATTAGAATTTGAAAAGATATTAGTTATATTGCAAAGTTCAATCTCATTTTATAGACAAAGAAATTGAGCTTATTCAGTGAATTGTCCAAGAATACAAAGCATGTCTGATTTTCTTCTAATGGAGTTAATATAGACATTTTGATTTAAATTGACAAGTTTAAATAGTTAAACTGTGGTCGTGCAGTACGGGGCTGGGAAGAATGGCTGTAACAAGGTAGATTTGTATTTGTAGCCTTAATTTATATATCTGCAAACTATACTGATTTCAAATGAAAAAAAATCATGGGAATATAAAAACACGGTAAAAATCAGACTTAAAATCAGTCTACAAACACATCATGCATCATATTAAAGTAAATGTCCACAGTAAAATTACTTTGGGGAATAAGACAGACAATCAAACACCCCTAATCATGCAGGGAAAAGTACAAAACATTACAAATAAGCAAAAGAATGAAATTTTAAAACAAGAGGAATGAAAAGAGGGGAAAATATTTCCATGCACAGAAAGACAGATATCTTGGAATATGACTTCAAAAAAACATCAAATACTAATCAGGTAAAGCTTAGGACTAAATTTGCACAAGGCCCAAAAGGACTCTGCATAAACATTACTCAATGAATATGCTAACTTACATGGACATGAGGATAACTTATGAAGTCATATTTCAAAACAGTGTTACTCTGTCTGGTCTGTACCTTTTTTATTGCCATATATGAGCCGTTCTTCAGATGGAGAGTCCAGAAAAAAGGAAGTGAATGATGGAGAAAAGGTGGTTGAGACAAATAAAAAGATAGAGATTTAACTTGGCAGTGGTACTGAAGAATGAATGTAGAAAGAAAGGGAGAAAAATGAAGGTCCTCATATTTGAAATTTTGAAAAATGTAGTACTACAGAATCTGGTGAATAAGAGGGATGCCACTGAGTAGAGCTCTAAAGTAAAGATTTCTTAAAAGGTATGTGTTCAGAAGAAATTATGGACAGAATGATTATAATATTTGATGGAAGTGGACATAATTAGGGACAGAAAAAAACACGTGAAAACACATAAGACTGATAAAAGACTGTGCTAACAACAATTGCACATTTATACTCGAACCCCTAAGGAAATATGTCACCCATGACAGCATGTTAAGTGAAAAGTAATGACACAAGGTACAAACTTATGTGGTTCTTCAAGGACACTAATATCTGTAAAATCTGTAGTATACACAGAGAAATGTAGGTAACTTTATAAACTACCTCAGTGGAAAACTTCACCCACCCCCAGTAGAGGAAAAAAACTAAGCCTTCTACAATCTGCAACAAGAACACATAATTTCTTGAATCTCAATTGTAGAACTTCTGCATATACTCAGCAGCAACACTGCTTTTTGTTCCCATTCCAATCTGAGAGCTCAAGGGACATCTTTTTGCAAAAAAAGCAACAGATTGTTTCAAAGCAAATAATAGCTGTAAGAGTAGGCAGCAGGGTGGTTTCACTTGAGCAGTTTGAATCTTTCATTCTAATGCTAAGATACATCATTTCATTGTAAGAAATTAAAAGTTTGGGTTAGGAACACTATAACACATAGGGATTATGTATCTCTTTTACCAAACTGAAAACAAAAGATAAGTATCTAAAAGGAACAGTACATATACAAAAAAGGAGTCTTACTTCTTTAAATATACAAAAACTCTTTCTGCCTCTGGAAAATGTCTAATCTTGCTTTCTCCTCTTCCCCACAGAAAACCTAACCCTGCCTTTACAGCAAACACCATTCTACCTTCCCAAAGTCAGATTTCTTCTCAGACCCAGTCCATATGATGGTTCCACTTCTATACAGGAAAAGAGGAGGGGACAAAAGCCATGCCATCATGGGGAAGAGTAAGGAGAAAAGAGGGTCAGAGTAAAGACAAAATGAGGGAGTACAGACAAGGGGAAATAAACTTAGTTCTGGAAGATCTTTTTCCTAGCCCATCCTAAACTTAGCATTTATCCTAATATCCTCCCCTCTTCCACTGCTACAATGTTCTTTCTCAAATCACTATTCAAACTTTCTTAGAATTCCTACTCTTAGTACTAGGTAGTGTAAGCATAAAAAAAATAAAGAGTAATTCCACCTGTCCTGCTGGCAGTGGCAAGATCTATTTCTAGTATTCAAAGTTGGAATTCAGTATGTTTTCCCATAGAAACACTGTCACAAATGGTGCTGAAAAATTTTAAAATTCCTTAAGACTGGTAAATAATTTTTATCCTCTCTATTCTGTCAATATATGGATAAAAGGATCCTGAGAAGTGAGGGGACTTTTCCAAGACTGCACAGCTAGTCAATGGTAGTGAAAAGACACCTAAACCATTATTTTTTAATTAAATCATACTACTTTTTTAATGCATCCCTGGAATGCAAAATAATACAAGTGAACAAATTAGCATAATTGATCATACTGATATAAAAACATAAGCTACCTAAAACCTTTTCACTAAACATAGTGGTCTAACACTTCCATGCCTTAGGCAGGCAGTAAATGTTATGTGTTCTTTTTCCTGTTTGAAAAAAAAAAAGGAACATAATAAAATGTTATATTTATCTGTGATTCAGTCTCAAAAAATGACTAATATCTACCTTCATATAAATCATAGGTACCTACAGCCAAGTACTATAGTTAGACTCAACAAGGATAGTTATTTATTTACTGGAAAAAGACTAAGGCATTACCTGCTACCACTCCTATTTAACATACTACTGGCAATAGTACAATAAGTTTCAAAGTTAAAAAGATAAAAATGATATATTTCCAAAAGTTATGGAAAACAAATTTAAAATTACCATGAAGTCAATCTATTCATCTAAATTGTTGGACATAAGATAAGCCCATAAATATATATTTCTTTATACAGCTAGAAAGTATGTCGAGAGACCAGTTATAGCAGTATTAAGAATAGAAAATACTGACCTATTAATTTAACTTGGTAATAATAACAAATTTTTCCCAAAGAAAAACTATGTATAATTTTCAATGGAGTAATTATATATTCAATGGTGTAACAGTAGTAAATGGACTAATTATATAGAGCAAGAAAGTTTTAGTTTATATAACTAAGTATTTAAAAACTCCTTGAATTCTGATATAGAGTTAACACAATAGTAACTGAAACACCCACTACATTTCAGAGAATTTGGCAAACTACCAGAAAATTTTACCTGAAGAACTTAGTATGCTATGTGCCAAGAACTATTTCAAGCATAATCTCAATTATTCATGATTTCAATACATTATAAAGAAGGTACTGTTCTCATTTGAAGAGGAAAACTGAGACCCAGAAAGGCTAAGTAACTTGCCCAAAGCCACACAGCTATTGTAGGGAACTAGACAGATCTTAGCTCAGGTCTATTCTTACGACAGATTCTGATGTAGCACAACAGGGAAAAGACATATCTACTTAAGCCTGTAATCCCAGCGCTCAGGAGGCTGAGGTAAGAGAATCGTTGCAAGTTTGAGACCAGCCTGGGCTACAAAAAGAGCTCAAGCCCAGCCTGAACTGCATAGCATGACCCTGTCTCAAAAAGAAAAAAAGAAAAAAAGAAATATTTACTTAAAACTATTTAAAAATTTTAGGGAAAAATATGATACATTTTAAAACTTAAAACTTCTACATAAACATCAAAAGGAGAGAATAAAAAAGAAAAATAGGCCAACTGTGGTGGCACAATCCCAGGTACTTGTGAGGCAGAGGCAGGATCACAAGTTTGAGGTCAGCCTCAGCAACTTGTAGCACAGTGCTCCCTGGGTTCAATCCCTAACACAAAAATAAAATTTAAAAAAAAAAAAAAAAGAAAAAGAAAAATCCTATTCATTAAAGATTATTATCCAAAACCAAACTGATAAAAATACACTTATTTTAGTTATTAACAAAAGTACAAGTAAAATTCTATCCCTCTACCTGCTACCAAGAGATGGTAATAGCAGTACTTACACACAGTCACTTTATACTTTCAGTAAATGGACTTATAAATGTTGAGGAGTCAAACTTGTGCACTGAGGAATGTATCTCAGTGGTGGAGCACTTACCTAGCATGTACAAGGCTCTGGGCTGGATCCCCAGCCTCCCCAGCAAAGTAAATTAATAAAAGTCAAACTTGTTTGTAGGCAGAGAAATTTCTACATAGCCTCTATTCAAATTTTACCCATTAAATGATCAATTAAGATGCATAGCTGGGCATGGTGGTACACACCTGTAATCCCAGCACTCTCAGGAGGGTGAGGCAGGAGGATCGCTGTGAGTTCGAGGCCAGTCTAGACTACAAAGTGAGTTCAAGGCCAGCCTGAACTGCACAGTGAAACCGTCTCAAAAAAAAAAAAAAAAGATGGATAGTTTACACAATTGGAAAGAGTAATTTTCTTCTTAGCATCATTAAAAATCAAAGAATGTAAATTAAACAATTCTAATTTATTACTTTCCTAATTTACCAAGCAAAATAAATAAAATAAATAAAAATGACAAAAGTCCTAGAGACAAGCCTGTGGAGAAATACGTCTATGGATTCATTGCTAGAAATACTTTATATTGGTCCCAGTTCTTCTGCAAAGCAATTGGGAAGTCCACAAGCTAAAATAGTAAAACTAAACCCAATCATATTCTTTAAGTCTATAATTCTCCCCAAAAAATTTTTTTCTAAGAAAAAAAAGCCACTATACAAATGTTTATTGCACTGCAATTCATAATAAGGATAATTCAGAATAACAGTTTCCAAGCAATATGAGACTAACTTTTAAAATTAAGGCATATTAATATACTTAGAAATATATAGCTATTGCTGGGTGCGGTGGCACACACCTATAGTGCCAGCTATTCAGGAGGCTGAGGCAGGAAGACTGCTTGAGCCCAGGAGTGTGAGGCCAGCCTGGGCAACATAGCAAGACCCCATCTCCAAAAGAAAGAAAGAGGGAAGGATGGAAATATGGAGCCATTAAATCTTTCCAATGTAGACCATACTTAACATATAAAAGCTTTCAAATACTGACTATAGCTATCAAAAGTTTACTAATACAAAGATGTTTAACTGTTTTGAAGATAATGATACACAGTATATTAATTGTTTTTCTCGTTACAGTATTTTGCTAAAAAAATCTGTTTTTATTTTTTCATAAAATAAAGATGTGAAGAGAATACAGAAGGAAATAAAGAGTTTGCAGCTTATAAGTTTTTATCTGTTTATTTACTCAATAAAGGTTAAATAAATACTTAAAAAGTTTAAAAATACAAATTTCAAAACATTAAAAAAGATATTTTGCTTCCATGGCATTCATTTATAAATATATATTAGATATACAGGCTTACTGATTTATATAAGAACTAACAACCATGTATAACTTTGTTTCTATGGAAAAAATACTACCCAAATCTCTAGCAAACTAACATGTGGTCTTTTAGAAGACAAGCACACTAATTTTGAGATTAGCCCACTGTGGTGTCTACAAAGCAGTGAAAACAATACTGGGAGTTCATATGTTTCTAATGCACTAAGAATACTATACTAGATCTCCTCTTCAAAAAGCAGTGTCCGTATTCATGAAGAACCACATCCTTTTAATACCTTTCAATTTTCCTTTCCTTTTGTTCTTCCAAATTTCCTTTCCCAAAATTCATCTTCTTCCCCACACCACCATAAAAGAGAACTATAATTATTTTTTTAAATATTAGACATATCTGAAAAAGTGACTTGTCACTGATTGAGAGAATAGCCATCTGAAAGAAATGACTTTTTTTTGCAAAATAGGTATTGAGCCTGAGTAGTAAGAGATACCATTTCAAATAAAAAGTAGTAAGATGAATAATCATACCATCAAACTGGTCTTCACCTTCAGTCATCAGTTCATCATCAGAGCAAATACTCAAAACATTTACCAACATCTCTGTCACTATTCAAAAAAGAAAAAAAAGTTACATGTTAGCTGCCCATGTATAACTGTCTATATATATGCATAACAATGATTCATATAAATGGTTAAGTAATTTTAACCTAAGGCACACACATTCTGACAAGAGAATGATGGAATTAAAAAATTTTCAATGCTTTTTTATAAGAACTAAATCTTGGAAGTGGCCTATATATCCATCAATACATGAATGGGTAAAGAAAATGTATTTATACAAAACAGAGCACTACTCTGCCATAAAGGACAAAGTTGAGTCACTGCTAGGAAAATGGATGCACCTTGAGGCCAATAATATTAAATGAAATAAATCGGAAATGCAAGCTTATATATTGCATGATTTCTCTTATATGAGAAACCCAAAATATAAATGAAGAGCAAAACAAAATAGAGATAATAGCAAGTAGGGAGACAGCTCTTTCTCAAATGGTAAGGGGATCAAGAGATAGAGGAATGGAGACAGGAAAAGGAAGGGAGAGGAAGGGAAGAGGATGGAAAAAGAAATAAGACATGTTATGTACATGTACTAACTCCCCACAAGGTATAATATAATCAGTATGTACTATAAATGTGTATTAATAAAAAATTAAAACTTTAAAAACTCAATGACAGTCAACTAGAGAAAAAAATTCTTTATAGAATACAATTTCAAGTCTCTTAGGGGAAAAAAAATCCCAAAGAGATACAAACAGAGAAATAATATCTGAATATATACATGTCAAATCCTCATCCAATGATATGGCATTAAGAAGAAAATAATTATGGCACGGTTCTCCTATTTCAAAGAAGTCCCAAGATTCAATCTTTTAAAAACACTGGCTACAGTAACTACCCTAAACCTTATCCCTACAGATTACCAATGATTATTTAACAATCTGAACTCGTGGCTCTTTCTTACACTTAATCTTCCCTGATTACTGTATGTATTTTTCCTTCTTTTCCCTTACTCCTCTGGTTTTTCTGCCTTTTTACCCTCAAAATTTGGATATCAGCAAGATTCTCTTGCAGCCTTATTCTTTTTATATGTCTAATTTCTTGGCAACTCTGTCCATTATTACGGCTATATTTTTAAGTATCATCTATTTGGAGATTACCCCAAAGCAATTCATCTCCTATTTTAACCTCTCTTTTGGGCTCTGGATTTCCTTACTGGCTTTACTGTCAACTGTTTTAAGCCATATGTATATTGTCCGTTTCTCCTACTAGAATGAAAACTTCGCAAGTGTAGGACATTGTTTTGTTTACCATCATATCTCTAGAACCTAACACAGTTCCTGGCATATGAAAGGCATCCAATAAATATCTAACAAATCCATAATGTAAGAAAAATACAAACAAATTTCAATTAATAAGTAAAAATGTCTCAATACTAGGCCCTGGATGTCTTGATAACACCTATGAACTAACACTCATTACGAAAGTCATACTGCTCCTACAAGCCTACTTTTCTTCCCACAAATATATTAAACCACACCACATGCTATGTACACCATGCTAAAGCTCTGGGATTCAGATACAAAAGGTACAGTCTCTACCCTCAAAAAGCTTACCAACTGCTAAAGGAAATAGATAGATAGATAGATAGTAACCAAAAAGGAATAATGAAAACTATTAAGTTTTCAAAGATAGCCAAAGACCTAGTAGGTAAGATGAGACTTTTGGTAAATGACATTTAGCAGGAATCATAAACTAGGGCCGGGGATATAGCTCCATGGCACAGCGTCTGCCTGGCAAGCATGAAGTCATGAGTTCGATTCCTAGTACCCGCCCCCCAAAAAAATCATGAATGATACTCAGAGTTTGCCATGTGGAAAGGATGGATAAAAGAATTCTAAACAGGAGTTAGAAAAACTATCAAGTAGTCATATAGATCAATGAAATAGAATTGGTAATCCAGATATAAAACCTCACACATAAAATCAACTTTTTTTCAACAAGGACGCCAAGAACAATTCAGTGAGAAAAGAAATCTTCTCAGCAACTGCTCATGGAACAAATGGATGCCCACAGATAAACAATTAAGTTGGACACCATCTCACCACTGCACACTATATCTAAAAATTAATTAAAAATGCAACAAAGATCCCCTAATGTAAAAGCTATAATTATACAACTCTTAAAAAAATAGGGTAAACCTTTGTCAGCTTAGATCAATGGTGATTACTTAACTATTACACCAGAAGTATAAGCAACAAAAGAAAAAGTAGATAAACAGGACTTTATCAAAATTAAAAACTTAAATCTGGGTATGCCTACAGAAAGATTACCTGAGCCTATGAGTTTGGGAGCCAACCTGGACAAAATAAAACAAAACTTACAACTTTTGTTTCAAAGGACATTGTCAAGAATATAAAAAGCCAATTCAGAGAATGGGAGAAAATATCTCTAAATGATTTATCTAATAAGGGATTTGCATCTAGAATATATGTTTTAAAAAACTCACCAATAAAGACAAATGACCCAATTTAAAAGGAGCAAATATCTGAAAATAAATTTATTCAAACATATATAGTTAATAGCATGAAAATATAGTTTTCATTGTTAATCAAGGAAACGCTAATCAGAATCACTTCATATCCATTATGAAAACATTAATAAAAAGGGCAGGTAATATCAAGAGAACCTGGAATCATACACTGCTGGTGGGATTGTGAAATGGCACAGCAGCTTTGAAAAATGGTCTGGCATATCCTCAGAAGATTAATCATTATGATCTAGCAATTTCACTCCAAGGTTTATACCTAAGAAAAATGAAAATATTAAGTCCACATACAAACCTGTTCACAAATGTTCTTCTCAGCATTACTCATAATAGTAAAAATTTAGAAATACTCAAATGTCTATAAGCTGATTAATGGATATATACATAAAATGTATATACATGTAATAGAATATTATTTATCATCCATTATATAGTAATAGATGATCCTTAAAGATGTTATGGAGAAAATGATCAAGAAATGATAAATGTATGAATTCCCCCAAATGAATATAACTATTATGCATCACAAATCTACACTAATAAAATAACATTATAGAAAGAACCCAGTCACAAAAGACCACATACTATATGACTCCACTTTTACCTATGGACAAAAACAGGCAAGTCAACATGCAAATCTATGGAGATGATATATTAATGATTATTTAAGGCTTGCAAGAATGGGTCTGTGAAATGAAGAGTGATTGCTAGGGGCTCAGGGTTTCTTTGAGGGAGTGATGAAAAAATTTCAAAACTGACTGAAGCACTAACTGCACAAATCTGTAGAATTTACCAAAAATCACTGAGTACACAATTAAAATAGATCAATTATATCTTGAGTGAGATATATCTCAAAAAGGCCACTACGAAAAACACTGAAAAAGTGTGAAGGCTTAAAACAAACAATATAGTCCAGCAGGAAACTGGCTTTACTATGTTATGACTGGAACATAGGTAATATCAAAGAAAAAAGCAAGAAATGAGGCCGAGGCAGGAAAAACAACAAAGGAGGTTCTAGTGTAACAGATCATACCTTTCTTGAAAGCTACACAGTCATTTATAGATACTAAATAGCAGGTTTTAAATACTGTATATAGTACTTTTAACCAAGAAGCTTGCCTGTGAAAGAAAGACAAGAAAATCATAGCAAAGTAGTACAGAAAGATATTAGGTGGGGAGAAATGTTATCTTTTATTTAAAATTCAGACTAGCCGAGTGTGGTAGCATATGCCTACAATCCCAGGAGGCTAAGGAATGCGGATCACAAGTTTCAGTCCAGCCTAGACAATTTAGCAAGACCCTGTCTCAAAATAAGGAAATTAAAAAGGACTAGAGATGAACCTCAGTATGAAGATTCTGGGTTCAATCTCCAGTACTACAAAAAAAACCAGATATGAACAACTTATAAAAGAGTTCAACAAGAGAGTTTTAAGATGTAGAAGATATGAATGATGAATCATATTTCCTAAAAAAAAAAAAAACAAACAAACAGAAGGGTAGTAGAATCTAGGTACAAGTTAGAAGGACTAGTCCCCAGATGGAAGGGTTATCTTTGCAACAAGATAAAAATTGAAAATGAGGTGTGTAGACGTGCTTGCGTGAGGGATTTCTGCCACCTTCTGTGCCGTGTAGCACAGCTTGTTCTTTGCCCGCTCAGCCACACAGGTTGAAATGACCAAAGCAATGGTTATGGAGAAGCCTAGTCCCCTGCTGGTCAGGCAGGAATTTGTGAGACAGTATTACATACTGCTGAACCAGGCCCCAGACATCCTGCATCAATTTTATGGAAAGAACTCTTCCTATGTCCACAGGGGATTGGATTCAACAGAAAACCTGCAGATGCAGTCTATGAACAGAAAGATATTCATAGGAAAGTGATGTCACAAAACTTCACCAACTGCCACACCAAGATCCGTCACGTGGATGCACATGCTGCCCTGAGTGACAGTGTGGTGGTCCAGGTAATGGGACTGCTCTCTAACAACAACCAGGCTTTGCAGAGGTTCATGCAGATGTTTGTCCTTGTTCCTGAGGGCTCTGTTGCAAATCAATTCTGTGTTCATAATGATACCTTCAGATACCAACATGAGGTCTTTGGCAGCTTTATCACTGAGCCCCAGGAGGAATCTGAAGAAGTAGAGGAGCCTGAAGAAAGACAGCAGACACCTGAGGCTGTACCTGATGATTCTGGAACGTTCTATGATCAAACTGTCAGCAATGACCTGGAAGAACATTTAGAGGAACCTGTTGCTGAACCAGAGCCTGATCCTGAACCAGAACCAGAGCAAAAACCTGCATCTGAAATCCAGGAGGAAAAGCCTGAGCCTGTTTTAGAAGTTGTTCCTGAGGATGCTCAGAAGAGTTCTTCTCCAGCACCTACAGATACAGCTTAGACAGTACAGGAGGACTTGAGGACATTTTCTTGGGCATCTGTGACTAGTAAGAATCTTCCTCCTAGTGGAGCTGTTCCTGTTACTGGGATACCTCCTCATGTTGTAAAAGT